GCATGGAGCACTCACATCGCGGGATGGTCGGCGGTGTGTTCCCCCCGTCATCTAGAGTCGAGTTAGACGCAAAAAGAGAGCACAACAGATCGGCCTTCTCTTTTGCGGCATGGGCCAGTGAGTCGTCCTCTCTGTGCAGAGATGGAAGGGATGGCTGACAGAAGTTCCCTTGGACAGCCTTGGCGAGAGACCAGAATGCACGGGTTCCCGAAGGAAGGCGAACTAGCTTCTCGCCAATTCTGCCGATGTGCTCAGACCTTGCCTTGGCAATGACGCTTTTGAAGGACCTGGAGGCGGAATTATACTTCTTTTTAAGTGCGCTGGTGTTTAAATCCCGAGACGTTGATGCATCAGCCCAGGCCCGGTAGCACTCCTGCTTATAGCGTGATGCTATTTTACAGGAGCGATCAAACCATGGCTGGGATCTGCCTCCGATGGGCACCACAGAGGATGGAATAAAAAGTTCCATACCCTGAAGTACCACATCAGCAATAGAATCGGCAACAACGCTGGGATCTTTCGGCGAGAAGCAAACCCGCCCCCAAGGGTAGGATGCAAAAAAAGACCGCATCCCGTCCCAATCAGCTGACCTATAGTGCCAAACACGGCGGCAAGCTGCAGATCGCAACTGCGATTGGAGCGTGAGTGGCACCGTGCTCCGGATCAGACAATGGTCCGAAGAGCCCAGAGGGGCATCGACGGAGACCTGATATCCATCCGGATGAGAGGTCAGCAGAAGGTCCAACAGGGAAGGTACATGGTCTTCCACATCTGGGATCCGCGTAGGCGAAGTAACCAGTTGTGTTAGACCATATGCCAAAGAAATGTCGTACACAGATCTACCCGCATGATCGGTTAAACGAGAACCAAGCCATTCAGCGTGGTGGGCGTTGAAATCACCGAGTATCACGATCTCTGCGGATGGGACCTGTTGTAGCACGGAGTCTGCAGCCATTTGGACGTGGTCGATGAGTCGGTCTGTGTCGGCATTACCGCTATGGGACCTATAGAGGCACCCGTAGACGCGGGGATGATCGTCGCTGTCTACGCGCAGCCATAGGATGGACAGGTCCGTACCTTCAAGGCTGCCGAGGCGTCGAAAACAGATGTCCTCTCTGACGTATACACAAACCCCAGCCCGGGGCACAAAGGAGTGTTCCAATTTGTATCCCGGGTAGGAGAGATATGAAGTATCAGCCGGAGAGGACACCTGAGTCTCGGTTAAAAAGAGCAAGGCCGGCTTCGCCGTCTCTAGATGGTAATGGACAGCGTTAAGGTTGGAATGAAGTCCCCAGATGTTGCAAAAATTCACGGATAGCGTGACAGGGGTCGCCTTGGTTGTATTGCTCCGCTTGCCCCGAGCAGCATTAGTCACGAGCGGAATTTTGCCCCCCCCCCCAGAATACGCGGGGCAGCCTGAGCACCCACGCTCAGGAGTGAAGTAGTTTGGTCGTGGATGCTCAGCGAGGGATTCTCCAGGGGTGCTGGTACCCTCCTGGGGTAGTCTTATATTTAATTCCACTACCATGTTGATGGGGGGGGGGGGAATTGGGCCTCCGGCCACCTGCACTCACCAAGCGCAACGCAGAGGTAAACCTCTACTTCACGCTGGTATTCTGTGAGGTCGTGGTACCACCCCGGTTCGAGCTGACCCATCCGTGCGACAGCAAAAGCTACCGCTTAGCTCTACCACTGTTATGATCATTATCGTCATATATTGATATATTTATATTATGGTAGCAGCACGAATGGTTCGGTTTGAATAGAGTAGGATCACGCCTTCACAGAATACCAGCGTAAAATAACAGCTTAACGCTGCTGTGTTTCATATGGTGAGTGTAGAGAACCGGAGACCCTTGTTACTGGAGACGAGGCTTTCCTTATCTATCTTAGTCCTCAGGGGTGACAACGCATCTGCATTTTGATTTATAATCGGAGGTACATGTAGATCTCTATGTGCCACAGCATCTACTAACCATCAGTTTGTTGACGAGTACATGCTCTTAAACTTTATATCACTGTGCACCATAACCTAAAATACAAATACATTTAATAAGAAAATAAAAATCACATGCTTTTTCAGTGCAGAACGTGCACTGGAGCAGTACGGCAGACTGACTACGTGGTAGAGCCACGTTCCAGCTATATTGTGGTTGTAGCACGAATGGGTCAACTCGACCGGTAAAGGGCCACGATCTCACTGAATACCAGCGTAAAATAGCAGCTCAATGCTGCTGAGTATGGCGAGTGTAAACAACCGGAGACCCTCTTTACTAGTAACGAGGCATAGAGATGTGTTGCCACCCTAGAGGACTAACAGTCCTCTAGGGTGACCACAGATCTGCATTTTGATTCTTAATAGAGGGTAAATGTTGATGTCTAGTGGCCACAGAATCCACTTACTATCAGGTGAACTGTGTGCTCTTTTGTTACACTTATTTTACAAAAAAAATACTACTAACCGTAGTTTGTAAGTCTGTTTTCCATTTTCTTTATAAATTTAACAATAGTTTTTACAAAAAATATTACTACCTGCATTTTGTAAGTTTGTTTTCCATTTTCTTTATAAATTTAACAATAATTTTAGTTCTACAGTCTGTTTTTTTTAAAATAGTAACGAAAGTTTTGACTGCGTTCTTATTGGTCCACATAATCAATATAGAGTCCGTTTCACACAAACGCTGTAGTTAGATGCAAACTTAGTTGACTCAGCGACAACCTGCGCGTCGCACATGTTGTAGTGGTGAACCAGATGATATTGTTTGTGCGTGAGTCATGGCGGACATGTTTCTTGTAGTTAAGCTATCTGTGCATGCCTAGCATTAATTATTCTATTGTTTAATTAAACTCTGTAACCATTTTCATTATAACCTACTAGCACACCTAGTTGGTTTTTATCGTCCCATTTACTACTTCTTAAAACTTCTGGAACCCTCACAAAAAAGCGGCCTTTGCAATCTGCAGAAAAACAAATTATATACAACTTTTTTTAAATTACTTAAAGATTCACAATGTAATAGATCACACGATGATATTGCCCAGACAATATCAAGTTTAGTAGGAATTCATTTCTTCACGGTGTACAATTATTATACACTATTTATTATAAATAGATAAATTAATTAAATACACATTAGTAAATTACAACTAACTAATTACGTCAAACTAAATTATAAATTAATTATATTATATTATATTATACATATTATTACATTTGTTTCCTTTTTTTAGGGTTATTTCAGACATGAAATCAACAAAATCGCTGAAAATGAAAAGAAATCGCTTGAGTGTTATTAACAAATATGATGATTTTACGAAAAGCGCTCTTCAAAATGTAATGCACAAATTTTATTTTTAAATGAAATACCTACATTAGATAAAATATCTGCATACTTAGATAGGGTGTTTAAATTTGTATTGTCTTTTTTTTGGATTTTTTTATAAATAAATCTGCACATATCCTATAAAAATACACGTTATTTCACTGACGGACAGACTGATGCTATATTATTATTATTATTGGGGCATCTATATAGTTTACTCATCTGGTTGGGCTGTATAAATATATAGTTGTAAATGAAAATGATAAACATACATAAATATCAACAAAATAAAATAAATGCATAAAAAATACATAAATAAATAAAAACCCAACCAGATGGAAGCCCTCGGCAGGGGAGACCAAACGGCCGAGGGTTAGGGGGAAAGGGAAAGAAACCGGCGGACGATGCGGGCGGTATCGAGGAGCACCGTCTTCTGCATTTGAGCTTGGAGCGGTCCGTCACGGAGTCCCAGTCGCCTCAGATGACCCGAGAGGCTGACTGGGATTAACCCGTTCGCAGAAACCACTACAGGTATAATTTCGGCCGGCAGTCCACCCCACATGTCGGTCACCTCGTGAGCCAGGTCCAGATATTTTGTTCGCTTATCTGTTTCGGCTTTCACGAGGTTCTCGTCATACGGAATGGTAATGTCGACCAAAAATATCCTTGACTGTGCCCGGTCCATCAGCACAATATCAGGCTTATTCGCAAGAATGGTCCTGTCTGTGATGATGGCCCGGTCCCAGTAGAGCCTGGCGCGGTCATTTTCGAGCACGGCTTCCGGCATGTACTTATAATAAGGCAGTTTCCGATCCACGAGACCGTATTTCAGAGCGAGCTCCTGGTGTAGAATCCTGGCTACTAGGTTGTGCCTATGCAAGTACTCAGAGTTAGAAAGCGCCGAACAACCGGAGATGACATGCCTAAGTGATTCACCAGGATGGCGACAAGCTCGACAAATGTCGACGTTGCCATCCCTTAGGATGTATCTCCGATAGTTATTGGTCTTAATAACCTGATCCTGTATTGCACAGACAAAACCCTCGGTTTCCCCGAAGAGGTCACCAAAACGTAGCCAGTGGAGGGAGGCAACTGTATCTACGAAAGGCTCATGTAGAGCCTTGTAGAACCTCCCGTGGAGCTCCTTCTCCTTCCATACGGTCTCCCGGTCGGAAATGCTCTGTACTGCCGCGTCTTGCCATTGCTCGTTGGCTAAGGATAGAGGGGTAAGTCCTTTATCACAAAAAATAACGTCCCTATAGAATGGATCATCCGCTCTCGACAGAAAATAATTACGGAGGCTGCACACTTCGCGATTATGCAGGGTAAGCGCGCTTAAAAAGCCGCGCCCACCATGCTTCCGCGGCAAGTACAGCCTCATTACCGACGATCTCGGATGATGCACTCTGTGGGACGTCATTATAGTGCGGACTTTTCTGTCCAGAGCGTTCAGTTCGGTCTGAGTCCACCTGAGTATGCCAAAGGTATACATGAGAATAGGCATGATCCAGCCGTTATAAGCGTGTGTCTTATTAACGCCCGACAAAAGACTGTTAAGCATTTTTGTCAAGCGTGCATAAAACACATCGCAAACTGACTGCTTCATACCCGCCTCATCGACACCGATGTTCTGTGACATACCCAGGTATCGGTATGTTTCAGCCTCGGAAAGGGTCCTTATGCTGATGGACATAGATAAGATAAGTCCATGCCCTCAGAGTTAGCAAGCCTTCCCCTTTCGACATGGAGGATCGCACACTTATCCGTCCCCAGCTCCATTCCAATAGAATTGCTAAAATCACAAGTGATGTTTAGCAATTCCACAAGATGGGAGCGACTGGAGGCGAATAACTTGAGATCATCCATATAGAAAAGGTGGGTCACTTTTGTACCTCCTTTCCGAAGCTGAAATCCCCTCCCGGAACCCTCCAGTAAGGTACTGAGAGGGTTCAGAGAGAGGCAAAACCAGATTGGACTCAAACAATCGCCCTGGAAGATACCCCTTCTTATACTTATGTGGTTCTCCGCAGCCGTCATCCGCTGGCCTAGATGACAAAGGATCGTACTCCACTGCCCCATACACTGCCTGAGGAAGTCTCGAACCGTACTGTCAACCTTGTAAAGCTCGAGGACCCTCTTAAGCCATGTATGAGGCACCGAGTCGAATGCCTTTTTGTAGTCTATCCAGGCGGCGGAGAGGTTCCGACGGTTGCGTTTAACCACCTTGCCAATGACCGCGTCAATGAGGAGTGGTTCCTTGGTTCCACGACCACCGCCCCGACATCCATTTTGAGCGCGCGACATCACCTGATTTGAGTTCAGGTGACGAGTGATTCTCGCGCTCAAAATGGATGTTAGTGTCTTGTATATGGTAGGTAGACACGTTATGGGGCGGTACTTGCTCGGGTCTGTGGAATCCCGGTCTTTAGGAACCAAATGAGTGATCCCAGTAGTGAAGAGGCTCGGGAGCGACTTTTGGTCGAGAGCCTCTTGAAACTGTCGGGCGAGCACAGCGTGACACACCACGAACCCCTTCAGCCAGTAGTGATGCAGTCCGTCGAGTCCCGGACTTTTCCAGTTCGGGGCCCTACGGACCGCCTCAGCTACGTCATCCGGCGTTATGATGACGGGGTCCATGGGCGTAATATTCGCACACTGACTCGCCACAACTTCCGTCCAAGGGCCCTCGCTGTGGTTTACGGGCTCTGACCACAGGCCGCGCCAGAATGCGATTCTGTCGGCCTGTTTCGGTGCTGGGCCCGTTCCACGTACCATCGGTCGCTCCAATGATTCATAGAGCCTCTTCTGATCACTCTGGAAGAGACGATTCTGGTTGAACCGTGTCGACCTCTCGGTATATCGCCGAATCCGCTTCCCCCAAGCAGCGATTCTCTGCTTCAGGTCGTCTATGCGCTCCGTCAGTTTTTGCGTTATATCCGGCTGGGACAAACTGATATTTGTCCCAGCAAACGCCATCCTGACGGTGCGCACAATTCTCGGCCTATTATTGCCCGACCTGAAGCTTATCAGTCTGCCGATGAGGACCCTTGCCTTTGCGATACGGTCCTCAATCCTTCTTCTCCAGGCTGGGATGGCGCTACTTTGTCTAGTAGCGCGTCCAGCCGTGGGAAGTTTGGCGCCAATAATACGGCAAACTGCCAGTGCGGCGCCAAAAAGAATTGAGTCCGTCTCGCAAAGGTCCCGGCTGGCTACCAAATAGGTCACCAGCATTGGGTTAAGAGCCCTCACGACAGCCCGATTCCGCTTGCTTAGGGTTATGCGCGGTAGTCGCGGTCGATTTTCGAGAGGCGTACTGCGCGTTTCCACAATCGCCTCCTCCAATTTACTCCTCATCTGCTCAAGTTCTTGGGTGACCATTCCATCATCGTCTGAATCAACTACAACTGGAAAATCCGCGGCGGCATCGACGTGTACAGATTGTTCTGCAATTTGTGGCGTCGCATTACCAGCTGCAGCATTTTCATTCGATGAGGGAACGGCCACACGTCGTAGTCGTTCGAGTTCGGCGTCACCAAATATGTTGGAGCGCAGGATGTACCGAACTCGGTCTGCCAGGTTTTGCTCTGATACATGAACAGATGGCTCCAGCTCCGCGAAAAAGCGATGCATCCGAGCCCGATACGCCAACATTCCAGTTTCTTCCCCTTTTGCCCTAAAATACGCTCGCAATGCGTTTGCGTTCATGATTTTTGTCCAACGCATGCGACGTGTTCCACCAGCGGCGGGTGCCACTTGCTGAGTCCGAGAAGACCCAGCCGACACCAAGCCCTCTGGTGGGGATGATGGATGCGGGCGGCTACTAGGTGGTCTTGCAGCCCCCCGCGCTTGGCTGGCGACCCGCATGGTGTCGCATCCAGCGCCAGCTCCAGACGCGCCCTGGCGACCTCCAGGCAGCGGCCCTTTGCGCACTCTTTTATTTTCCATCATCCATTATATGGGCGTCAATTAACGGGAGACGCCCAGACCCGGCACCGTTTCATGGTGCGGCCATAAGCACAGACGGACCTTTGCACCCTCAATTCTGCCGAGGCACGGCGCACACACCTCTTGGCAAGGCGCTGACTGACTGCACTGACGTAGCAGTTTTGTCACTTAACTGTTACGTCAGCGGGCGGTGGGGTCGTCACTTCCCTACGCCTTATTATTATTATTATTATTACAGGAAAAGGCAAGCGGCTTATAATTATGAATATCGGCAGTACTAATGGATTTGTAGACGGAGGATTGAAATATCTTGTATCTAATAAAACCGGTGATTACTACCAAGATATTATGGAAGCCAAAGTGTTTGAAAATTGGTTCCAAGACGTTTTACTTAAATTGTATGAGAATGCAGTTATTGTTTTAGATAATGCATTGTATCATTCTCGAAAACTTGACAAAGCACCTATAATTTGATCTCGGTTGAAAAATATTGCTTGTGACGAATCAATATTTTAGAAGTATTCAATATGAATAAGGCCCGTTTTGCAATTTCAAAACAAGAATAAAGGCGTTGGCCCCACCTCTAACAATGACCCATCTCACTCTGTCAATATTGGAAATGTGCGAGAGACATACTCAGTATCAGTACTAGTTTAGTTAAAAAAAAAACAGATTATAGTTGTGTAATTGCCACGCCTAGCGGACGCGTTGGCAACCGCGTTTTATTTCTTATTTTGAGTTGTTGTCAGGAAAATACTACTGCATATTTGTTTCAGTTTCGTTCTGTCGCCTCTCACGACATCCGCGGGACGATTTAAGGAAGTGGATATATTTCCAACGGTAGTACACTATTAATTCTTATAAATGTATGGACTAATTAAAATAAATAAAACTCTTAAAATAAATAATGCACCAGCAGCATCTTAGAAAAGATCATGCTCGATGATCTTCCTCGATGCCACAGGATCAGAACTCTATCTCTAATTTAGCTACAATTACAATTTTAATAAATATAAAATCATTAACAAATTGCAAACAACAACTTGCTTCTTTACTAAGTTAGGAGCCCGTTGTCAGGGCTAGCTAATTCGCCTCCTGTCATGTTACTTTGTAAAAGATTGACACTGACAGTGAAAGTGACAGTGAATAAAATATATTTTGTAGGTCCCTTTGAAGAAAGTTTCTTACATTGTTATTTAGTACAATATAATTTTAAGGGGCAAACGAGCATGCGGTCCGCCTGATATAAAGTGTCGATCGCCGCCCATGAACAACTACAACACTAGGGAATTGCAGGTCCGTTGCCGGCATTTTAAAAAGGAGAAAGCTCATTTATTGAAGGTTCCTAATTTGTATTGGTCTAGAAAATGTTAAGCAATTCCACAAAGAAGTTATGCAAGGACAAAAACTTCTAATAAATCGCACAGTGGCGAACCGCCAACAATCCAGATGGTGTTGGTTACCTTGAGTTGGTATCTTGAGTTTTGTCGCGATGAATGTATGTAAATATATATCATCATCAACACCTGTAAAGGCCCTTCACAAGTCCACTGCTGAACATAGGCCTCCGGCAAGGAATGCCAGAAAGCATGGTCCTGAGCCACCTGCGTCCATCGACTTTCTGCATGTCTTACCAGGCCGTCACTCCATTTAGTAGCGTGTCACCCTACACTTCGCCTACCGGTACGAGGCTGCCACTCAATAACCTATTTTCCACATCGGTCGTCGGTTCTTCGAGCTATATGGCCGGCCCATTGCCACTTCAGCTTACTAATCCGTTGGGCTATGTCGGTTAATCTGGTTCTACTGCGGATATCCTCATTTCTAAGTTTCTCGCGCAGAGATACCCCGAGCATAGCCTGCTTTGCGACCTTGAGCATCTTCATACGGCCAGCAGTGAATTCTCAGTTCCATAGGTCATCACAGGTGTTAGGTATTACTGACGAGAAGATATGCCGTAATTTCACGAACGCTGCCAAGCCGAGTTGAATCCGTCGATTGACCTCTCGGTCGAAGTTGAACTTACCTAGTTGGACTATTTGGCGCAGGTAAATATACTCATCAACAACTTCGAGCTCAGTGCTGCCAACAACTACTAGCATATGTGTGACATAGACATTAATCATGATCTTTGTTTTGTCCATGTTCATCTTAAGACCTATACGTTGGGAGACACTATTGAGGTCATCGAGCATAGTGCTTAGGTCCTACAGCGATTCTGTCATAAGGACTATATCGTCGGTAAATCGAAGGTGTACTCACCATTGACGTTAATACCGTATCCTTTTCAGTCCAGTAGCTTGAAAACGTCTTCCAAAGCAGCTGTGAAGAATTTCTTTAATTACGTCACCCTGTCTTACACCTCTCTGCAGTTGGATAGGTAAATATATATGTACTAAAAGCAGCGCGAAAAGAAAAACAATTGAACTGCGCTCCTAATACTTTTTCCAATAAAATAGGATAACATGGTAAGAGGGAAAGTAACGCATATTACGTGTTATAGAAAGTTCTTCTACGTAACATGCGGTATTAATGACGTTAGATACGTGTCACGTACGACTCACACGGCTCGATCCAATAACTGCCACTTCATCGTTCGACGCAGGCAGCGCGTTAATATCTATTATAAAGATTTATATTCTTTATGTTCAGCATTTATGTGCACGCAATAATATATAGAGCATTCTGTAGTTTTGTTTATAGAAGAAGAGTGACAAACTTGCACACAGAAATTCTTAAGGCATGTGGATGTTGTGGCCCATAGACATCTACACCAATCCTTGAAGCCATATTTGTTTTGCAAACGAGAGCCAGCCGTACGGGCGCTTTATAACTTAAATTGTTGAGAATTTAACTCTTTATATTTCCTCGGAGAAAAAATAAGGAAACAAACATATTAATTTTGGCACAGCAATACATTTATGAAAATGTAATGTTTGTACGTAAAACGCTTTGATAAGAATAAAGATGTTCATACTTTAAACAATAGAAATAAACATATCAGAATTAATAATTCATTAATGGGCAAACGTATACGCTTTTACAACAAAATAATGCTTTAATGTGTTATAAAAGAAAATTATACAAAATGGGTTATTATAATATCAAAGAATACATAAGAAAAATAACTACTGGGAATGAGGTGATCACTATCATGCTGGTTCTATTAAAATTCATTTATAAAATTGTACAAAATTATTGTAAAGTCGAATATGTATAAGAAAATGTCCTGGTTCTTCCTAGGACAGAGATATTTTCCGAACCAGTGGCAAATAAAAAATGACTTTCAATAATGATTTCTTATATTTACGCGAACACTACACATTTTTAAATAAAACTAATTTTACGGATTTTATCGCGTATATTAATCTATTTTTATATTCCCGACGTTTCGGGTGCTTTCCAGCACCCGTGGTCATACATTAGATTTGAAAGACCACAAATCCTCGCAAAAGAACACCGCTTCCTCCCAAGGATGATTCACGAGGCTATTGAAATTAAAAACATCCTAATTTCAATAGAGAACATGGATGGGTGCTGCCATCTGCTTGGGATCCCATAATTAATAAAATCAAATCCAAGCCCAAGTATACCACTGCTAGACTTCAAGATACTGTAAGCTTATTCTGCGTAAATCGGACCAAAAATTAATATTAAAAAACTGAAGGTAGCCGGGCTAACTATGACAGCAG